ACATTTTTTTTTTGGTAGAATTGGGGTTTGAACAAAGGCTGTGCACTTGCAAGGCAGGTGCTCTGTAACTTTATCCACATCCCCAGCCCTTTTTATGGTGGGACTAGGTTTGCATTTGCTGGGTAGGCACTCTACAGCTTGAGCCACACCTCCAGTCTGATGCCCAAGAGAAGCTGAATTTTAGTAGCTGGTTCAATAAAGAATTCAAAACTCCAACAAATTTGATTCAATAGGAAGTGTAGATTAAACATTTGAAATTGAACTGTCAGGACTAGCATTGTTAGATAGGAAGAGATGTGAAGGTATGTTTTGTATACCATCATGATGCCATGGAGATTTATTACAGACAGATGAGGTGCTAAGGAACCTTTACACTTGTGAACTGAAGAGCGCTTAAATTCAAACCAATCTTTTTTGTTGTTCTATTTTTTTGTGTTTTATTATTATTGTTGTGCTAGGGGTACATTGTGACAGTCACAAAAGTCCTTACATATATTAAGTATGTCATACTTGAATTCACCCTTTCCATCATTCTCCTTTATGCTCCTTTCCCCTATTTTAGGAATAGTTTTAACAGGTCTCATTTTTCCATTTACATACATGGGTACACAGTATTTGCACCATATCCACCCTCCTGCACAATTTCCCTTCCTCTTCCCAGTGTTACCAATCCCCCCAGACAGAACCTGTTCTGCTTTCCTGTTCTTCCATCTTATAAAAAAATGACATCTTGTCAAGTCAGTTTTTACATTGGAGAATAAAGGAGTTACTAACTGCTGAGTATTTGTCTAGTCACTTAAAAATGTAATTGTGTACTCATTCCTCCAAAGGTGGTGTTAAGTTGATGTGTCTTACAATTGATAGAAACTGAAAGTTGTGGAGATAACGAGGCTGTGAAGCCACACATGGAAAGTGCTCTGACAGGCACAGGTAGTTGGTTTCGGTATCATACTTTATATAAAACAATTTGATACTGTTTTATGCTTTTGCCCCATTGTCGTTTTTCTCAGGCTTGTTTATTTGTGTTTAGGACATGTGCTCTCATGGAAGAAAAGCAATGGTTCAGGATGAAAAGGGGGTTTTATAACAGAGAAGGCATTAATTTGGTTTATTAAAGTTTTAAGATAAATCATCAGCAGTATAATCTGAGTAATTGAATTGTGACATGAGGAGCGATTTCCATACACAACTCTTAATGACACGGTCTGGCATTGTGACCATTGGTGGGATGTGTGTTCCACAGACATTTTCTGGGGTGATAGAGGATGATGAGATACATTGCTGGTTCCCCCATCAGGCCCCCTCTAGAGCAAAGGTGGTGCTGCTTGTGCAGTGCACTTAGCCCTTTCCTAGGGTGTCTTAAAAGCACTACTTTGATTTAATTCTGAATCAATGTATTTTTTATCAGCATACATTAAAATATAAGGGAGTTTCTTTGTGGTAATTTCATAGATGAGTACAGTGCATTTTAAACAAATTCATCCCTCTATTGCATCCCGTAAGCCGTCCTCCCTCCTCTTCTGCTTTTTCAAGCAGTATCTGGCAGCTTTCCATATGTTATCTCCATATACACACGTAACGTACTGAGTTCTTGCGTTCTTAAATTTTCACACGAACTTGCAAATAGCCCCAGCGCTTTCCTCTGATTCAAATCCCAGCAGCCTTTGGTGCCATGAACCTTGTTTCTAGAGCTCAGAAATTACCTATGGATCCCTTTATGACACTTTCAAAGAGGCCTTTATCCCTCCCTTCTCCTGTTTCCCACAAAGAGGTGTGTGTCCAATAGTCAGGACTCTTCTATGTAAAGAGCTCTGGATTGTGAAGTCTACCATTCTGATAACTGTCCTTTCTCCCCACCCCAGCCTACCTCCCAGAATGCTTCTTTTCATGCTACTGTTTTGTAAAACTTCACTGTTTTTCATACTACCTTTTCATTGTTAAAGGGTTGTTCTACCCAGCCAGTTGGCATTTATTTCATTTTAAGTCTATTGTGTAAAGTCCCATTGAATGCTCATTAAAATAGCATTTTTGGACTATACTCTCTATTGGAAGGTCTTCATTGACATAAAAGATTAATTAATTAAACTAATTAATGGGTGTCAAAAAGTGTTAAGTCAGTAAAGTTACCTTTTACTTCAAGTATGTTATGCTTAAATTTTTTTTTTGCTTTGAAAGGTTGGCACCAGAGATGAAATAGTAAATAAATAAGACACTAAATAAGTTTGCGTTGATATTGTTAGCACTAATTATAAATACAGTACACAAACAATGCATTTATTTCAGAAAAGTTAGGAACAAAAATTACATCATGTATTTCATTTTATTTAAGGAAGTTAGGAATTGCTATTTTCCTTCAGAAATGTAAACAAAAGGAGTCATTTCAACTTCACACCATTCTTATGGAAATGTAACTGACCTACTTCACAGGGGATATGTAGAAAGAGAAAATAAGGTATTTTTTAAGGAGGCAAAGGAAGTGAACTTTGTCAGTCATATTTGTGGTTAGTCTAATAAATCATAAGATTTTCTTCTGAAAAGATTATTACTCTTGGTTTACATGCATTATCAAACTAGGGCACGAGTCCTGTTGAGGGAATGAGATGTGTATGCAGGGAGGTATGAAACCACAGAATATCTGATTATGCGTTCTTCTTTTGATGTGGAATCTTGCTATGTTCCTTAGCGGGTCTCCAACTCCTAGGCTCACGTTGTCCTCCTGCCTCAACTTCCCAGTGCCACCTCACCAGAATACACATTATTGAAGAGGCGAGGGTTATACTTGATGGTAACAGTTAAGTATTGTAATTGTCACATATACACACATCTATGTATATACACATAGATGTGCACACATATACATGCACATATGCATATATATAATTAAGCAGAGGCTAATGGTTTTATTTATTTTTAATATAAAACAGAGTTCAAAGACATATCTAACTTTCCAGAAGCAAGACCCATTAAGTGTTTATTTTCAATTATTTGAGAATATAAAACAAAACAAATGCAGGCAACATTAGTACCTGCTGTATACAAGACAGTAGTTATATGGTCAGAAAAGGCAGAATTCACAGTCAAAGGTAGAGAGTTCCCTAGCCAAGTATCAAGGAAGTAAGAAGGGTCTAGCCAGTTAGAGGGAACATGATGACCTATAGCATTTTGTAATTTGCAAATGGGTACGAGTGTTTTCTTAGCAGTCAGATGCCTTGGATTGGTCTAGAAGAGGTGAACAGAAGCTATTGGCAAGCAGATGAAGTGAATAAATGAGGTGTATGGGAGGAAGAATTTGGAGAAAATCAAGGAGGTGTGGTTGATGGAGAAGCAACCAGCAACACGAGAACAGGGCTTCAGGTCTAGAAGAACTAAGGTACGTTGTGAACCTGGGAGGAATCTACAGGGATGTGAGACCATGTCTGGGTATGGTTCCCAGAATCCTACTTACTCGAGTGGATTTAGGTGGGATTAACAGCAAATGTGACCAGATGCTGATCCCTCAGTATGGACCTGAGTGGCTCCTGCTAGTTACCCTGTCTAACCAGGAAACACTCAGAACTCTGAACAGGACAGAAAATGCAGGTGGCGATCTTATGTCCTCAGGCAAGGAATAAAGAGCCACTGGCACATCTCCAAGTGCTGTGCAGGTGCAAAAATTATTTAAATTTCTGTTTCTTTATCTTAAATGACAATGCCGCCTATTACACATAAACACATTCAGATCAAGTGTCAATACATACTTTAATGTTCTAACCAATGTATGTATTAAATTATTTGAATTTGCCATGGATTTGGCAAACAAAGCCAACTTTACGCATGGCAGGAAACTAATATTTAGACAAGGAATACCAACCAGTGCATATACTCAAATTCAGAATAAGACTACACTGTTTTTTAAACCAATCCAGAGATATAAAACTAAATCTAGGTAGAATGAGAATATTAAAAATAAGTTGATCAAAATCTTCTGTATAGGAAATATGGATGAAGTGCAGTGGTTTGAAGAAGGACCTGCCTTGACCCAGGAAGAGCTGCAGAAACCACTCCAGCAAAGACAGAAGGTCCACATGGCAGCGCCTGAGAAACGACATCCTGGAGTTCTCATCAGAGCCCTGCTGGTTGTACGTGTGTGCTCGCTTATGCTAGAGTTGAGCTTTGTGTGGATTTGGGATGGGAACACAACCTACCCCTTCCCTTCCTCCCCTCAGTTGCTGCTTTTGGGGTTCAGCATGCTGGCTGCTCACATGAGTCTCTGCCTTGTCCGTGTCTGGCAGTAGCTGCTTGGAATTCTGCCTCTAGCAGTATCCAGACCTGTCATGAAACTCTCTAGGAGTGGTGTCCCATCACCATCCATTAGACAAACCCAAGCTGATGATACACAAGGCGGTCACCGAGGCCCCTTCTCTCCCAGGCTTTGGAATTGCATGTCTTGCTAGAGATTGAGGAAAGAAACACAGAAACAAATTTGGAATCTAAACTGAGGCATTCAGTGCTGTCCTACCCACTTAGCCTGACTCATTTACTCATTTTTTTTGCAGTTTGTGCCAAGTTTGCATAGCTTTGACAATTGGATGGAACCATTGATTTCTTCTGAAGGATACTTCTTGGGTCATGAAAGCTGAGCAGCTGGGCTCTCTCTTCTCATACCCACTGTTGTCAAGGAAATGAACAGAAGGGTTTATATAAACTGGATGGAGCTAGTCTTTCTCACTGGGGACCCAGCTCCAGTCCTTCCATTAGGTCCTGCCTCTGAAGTTTATCTCTTGCCATAGGTAGAGTGACATGTCTATATCCTCATCAGAAACGGAGACAAATCCTGACTGTGGCATGAGGGAGTTACAGAGTTTCATTCAAATATTCTTGCTGTTACTCTATTGTTGATTTTATGTCCCTGTCTTGATAAGTAGGATTTAACATTGTTCACAATTTTAATTCCCTGCTCTTATGGGTGCCCCATCTTTATTTCTTTCCCATATCAACTTCCAATATGCTTGTGCGGTAAGCATTTATTTACACCTATCCTGTACCCATTTTGCTTTGTTTGGTGACCACTTCCCATGCCTTCCATACCTGCAGGGATGGAACACATGACCAGTTCTTATATTCATGTTTCATAAGCCTTTGACATTGGCTCAAGCCCAAGCAGGTTCTATCAGAGCAGGAAGGAGAGCACTTTTGTAGAATTTGCCAGGTAAAAACACATGCTTCAGTTTTTGTAGACTAATGTCTAAGAGTCTGTATGGTCTACAGCTTAAGCCAACTCTGAGCTGGTTTTCTCTTGCTTAAATGAATTTGTACTGAATTTTCTGTACCTTGGATTTTTATTTAAAAGAAGATTAACTAATATACTCTGTGAGCGACTGGAGTCTTGACTGAGACTTTCAGTCTAATGGCTGGACTTGGCTAATGGCTGACAGTCTTCTTGAGACTACCTGAGACCTGGGCATCTGAGAGTTTCCACCATTTCTTTTATATGCTGGTTTTATCCCTGTTGGGATATCCTGATAATTCATATAAACTCTGATATTCTTTTTCAGTTTAGATGAAATCCCAAGTATGGGACTAGGTTTTTCTCCATAACTCTTTTAGGAAGGATTAATGACCCCATAGATAAATTGTATCTTTAGTAAGTCAAAGTAGGAGGCTTCAAGGAATTTAAACCTGACCCTAAAATACATTAACATATTAAGGCCAGACACTCATTGGTTTTACTTCTTTTGGAATTCCTCATAGATAAGGTAAGACATACCAGTTTTGACAAAAGGGAGGTTATTGTGATTTGAGTAGAGAATATGAAAGGAATTACCAAGAAGGTGGGACAGCAGGAGAGGAGAGTTTACTTCTGTTAGAATTAGATTCCCTGGTTACTTGGAATGACTACACCTAGCAATGGCTCTTTTCTGTGTCACATTAATCAGTGTTTTCTTATGGTAAGTTCCCTATCATTTCTCTCTACTATCTGAGGGCATAGCTTCCATTCTCAAAGGTATTGCCTCTTGGTCCAAAATGACTCCAAAAGCTCTGGCCCTCACAGTATTTTATAATCAAGAAGAAAGATAAAAAGGCAAAACATGGGGTGTAGGGCTGGGAGGAAAGTGAGATTTCTCTCAGTTGACTTGGTTTCTTTAAAGCAGTTTTCTTGGAATTCTAATGCAAAACTTCTGCTAATCTCATAGGCCAGAGCTTGGTCACATGTTCACAACTTGCAACAGGAGCGTCTAGAAAAATGTACCTTTTTAGCTGGTTATAAAATCTGAGTTTTATAACTGAGGAATAAAGAAAAAACAGGTCTTGGATAGATACTTGTAGTTTCTGTTGCAAAAATCCTTAAAACCTATGTTTGGTTTTTAGGAGATGAACTAAGTTATTAGAAATTATGTAGACTTGTAAGAAATATTATTCTTACTTTCAAAGTATTAATTGGCTAGGGAGAGTCTTAGCTAAAGTACTGGCCTGGGTATAAAAGTCATAATTTCTGAGAAGGAGTTTCTAGCACTTGCCTATGAATAAAGTATGGAGGGAGGTAAAATCAAGATTAAGAAGTTTTGGAGGTTTAAGTATGACAATAGTTGTCAAAGAGAATTCAGAAAGAATGAGTAGCCCACAAGAGAGGAAATACATTTGTGTAAGAGTAAAAACCTTGGGACAGGTTTCAAATGTGTGTTTATGGTTCTGCACTAGGGTAGAGAGAAAGCCTAAAATAAAACAAATTATGAGCTATGTTTGGAAGTGAAGACAGTACCTTTCAGTGTTGGGTTTGGCCATTGTATTGAGAAGGAAGTCACAAACAGTATGTGGATAAAGGGGAACAGTTATAATAGGGAATACTGGGAGATGTAGGGAACAAAAGAATGCAGGTCTTTTCTAAAGGAGCCACTGCTGCTTGGCATCAGTCAATCTTTGCAATCAAAGAAATCAGACTTTTACATAAGCTTGCATTTTTCTCAATCATCATCAAGCCAAGGAAACATGTTCCCAGGCTGGACTTGTCCAATGACCACTATTTGCAATTACAGATACAGTTCCCTATTTTACTGAGACTGGGAAGGATCTAGGATCTTGCTCAGGGTCACATAGCTTGTTAGTCACAAGCTGGGATAAGAAGCCCACTCCATGAACCACACTCAGAATTGCTAGCAATATCATGTGGGGTTGTTTGATGTGAAGGGATAATAAGGAAAATTAGGCATGTCACATGTGTAGTTAAGACCAAAAGTGCCAAGCACAGGGCCTAGAACTCATAAGGTGTCAATCAATATCACCTCTGTCTGAACTGTTAAAATCACAGACAATATGAATGAAATAGAGAGAAGAAGAAGGAGGTGTCCTTATTGGATTTTGGGGAGTCCCCCTAACTAACAATGGAAGCAAGATTATTAATTAGAAAAGACAGCATCCAAAGAAAATTCAGAAGCAGCCAGGATTGCTTTGCGAAGCTCTTGCCTTTACCTTTGCCCTAATTACACCTTTAGGCTGTGAATGTTTTAATTTGAGGACAATTTTCAGCCCTTTAATAAATTTCTTTCCAATTATACTACCATCATAAACTTATAACCTCATAAGAAAGTGTGGTCTTCAGAGAATGTTTCTTTTCCTGTAGTAGAAATTAAATAGATTGATTAACTTTGGCTGAAATTTCTAAGAATGTACAATTGTGTCTTGAGATTATTCCACCATTAGTGTTTAGTATCTCTAGAATAAGTAAATATTGTCATTTAAAAATAGTTTAAACAGGAGAAACACCCTTTGAATATTCCCCTTTTTTAGTATATACAGGTCTTTGTGTGTCACAAAAATTAGTTGGATAATCTCAACACCATAGATCTCAGGGTAATAATTTATTTACCCAATTTTGGTTTTGTCTGTTAAAGATATTAGGCTTTCCTTACTCTCTGGTATATTTTTTTATTATCATATTATTGTTGTCCTGGGGGCATATTGTGAGAGTTACAAAAGTTCTTACAATATATCATAGTTGAATTCACCCCTCTATGATTCCCCTTTATCCCCTCTCCCCCCATTTCTGGAATAATTTCAACAGGTCTCATTTTCCATTTTCATACATGAGTACATAATATTCCACCATATTCACCCTCCTACACCCTTTCCTTGTATCCTCTCCCTCTGACTGGTACAAACCCCCAGACAGGACCTGTTTTACTTTCCTGTTCTCTGTTTTTGAAAAAAAAGATATTTTTGTTTGTTTAAGATAGCTATACAGGGAGTTTCCTTGTGAGATTTCCATGTATATATGTGTTATAACCCGAAATAGTTCATCCCTTCCATTTAAGGTTTTGGGGAATAAAATCCCAGGAAATTAGAATTTTTGATTTAGTGCTCATGTCAGAGTTTTGATTAGTGAATACGGTGAGAAGACCTTGGGGATCTGATGAGTTCTTGGTGCTTTTGGAATGGAGTTTGCTTATATTTTATATATATGTATAATATATTTATATATAGTCTAGATAAAATACATACACCTATATACTTATATGTATTTGCTCTCCTAGCAATTATCTCAACAGAACTGAAATACCTACAAGGTCAATGGTGTTTGGTTAAGGTCACATATTAGTAGCCCTCATGCATTTGATTGGGTTTATCTTACAGTATGTCAACTTAGTACTGAAAATAGAATGTGTCACTAAAAAGAGAGAAAATGTATTTGTTATTCATCTGACATTTAGCCATACAATCATGACATTTTTCTTTTCTTTTTAACTCAAGGCACATGTAGAGTACCTGTGTGTTTCAACAAGAAAATGGAGGCTTTTCTGCTATCAGTTGACATTGCTGTGACCATAAAAACAAAGAATTCCATCCTGTTTCCTTGCCAAGAAAGAGTGCCCAGCAGAGCAAGCCCAGTGTCTTATCTCTCCATCCAGACAGTGATTCTTGGTAAATACACAGCTTGATTTCATGGTCTCCACTCAACCCTGGCTTCCACCACTTTCAGTGGGGGAAAAGTTCTCATGAAAGCCTCATAAATGGTGTTTAGTTGGCAGTGTTCTTGCTCCTCACATTGGTTTTCTTCTGCAATCCACTAAGATTCTTTTGAGAAAACAACACAGTTCTGTGCTATAAGTCTAGAGGCTAGAGAAAAAGTATAACCCACCCCTTGAGTAGGAATTTCTGACATTACAGAACAAAGATTCTGAAGATCAAAGATATTATTGATAAAAGACTTTTGAAAACAAGTTCAGTGCTTTCACAGTGGGCAAAACCAGACCTTTTCCATCCTCAGCTGCTCCTGAGAATGAGATGTACATTTGAGATGAAGCAACAAAGATCCTAGGTTTTAGGGGAATCATATGTTCCTTTGATAGTCTACTAAAAATTATGAACATTTTCCCTGAGAAGAAGTGGCCATAAAGACACATTTATAGAATTTTACAAATTTGGGGTTTATTTCCAAAAACTTGAATATTTATTCACTAAATATTTCTCTGGATTCCTTAGGGGCCTGTACACCATATTAAGAATCCTCAGAACTCTGAGGATGATTGTGGAGACTTGTGTTGGCCATCTATCTGGTTTTTGTTCCTCATCTATATGTCCCTAACTTTGTATACGGGGAGATGTTCACAGGATTAACCAGTGCTGTCTAGCTTTTATGTCAGTCTTCCAAGTCAGGAATTTGGTCTCCTGCAGTCCTTTCCCTCTTTCACGTAACTGTGCCTGAAGTCCAGGTGACATTTTGTTCGTGAACAAGCCCAGAGTTCATTCAGCATCCTCTGGTTACTGATGCTCTTGCTGTTGGACACCTCCAGTTTGTCTGTGCACTGCCACCTTTGTTAGGAGCCAATGTCTAGCTAGTACATCATTGTCATCCCTGCTGGGACTGAGGTTTTCTCCTTCTGCCAATGCACTGGAGCCACAGAGGGTCCAGTAGTGTGCTCTCCAGAATTTTCACAGTTCCAGGCAAAGTTTTGGAGGGAATGCTTTCTCCCCTTTGTGTACCTGCTAACACGATTTAATGGTTACTACTGAGTTGTGATTTGAGGGTCTTTAGCAGGATATATCGTTGGGCTTGTTTCCATTTCTTCCCTACTTGTCATGACCCCATGCTGCTGGGCTGAATGACAAACCCAGGTGACCCTGGATTATACTCAGACTCCTCTCATGACTGATGCCTGTCTCTGGTCCATGGCATTCTCTTGACTCACACTTACTTTGGAAGCTCTGCATGGAAATGTTACTCCAGTGGCTTGCACGTTGCTTTATTGGGGAGACACAGAATTTCTGCCCAGCAAGGAATGGGCTTGGCAGAGGTATATAGTGGGAAATTCAGAAATATCAGTATTTAAGAGTAACTTAGGTGATAGTGTGACCTTTGTATGTAGGCACAATGTTTTTAAGAGACATTTTGAAGACTTCTTCCAGATCTCTGTGGTATCCCTTCAAAGAGAAAGTCTTTATAACTATTCTGCCCTACATCCAAGCCAGTGCAACACAATGAAAAATGTCATTAACAGGAAACACGCCTCTTCTTTATTGTAAATAACTCCATAGAGCACCTGCAATAAGTTAGAATAATAATGATCCTTCTGTCATGATTCCACTTTTTATACAACTCATGTGCCCCAAACTTCAGAGGAATCAATAAAATATGATTCTGAAACAATACTGAATTTAAAGCTTAGTATGCAGCGTATGGGAAAATGCCTCACCATTTTTCTCTCTGTCATTTGAAAGTGCAGTAGTAGATTCATCAAGACTTTGGAGATACCTCTGAAGATGCCAATATCTCCATCAGTTCCCAATTTGTCTTAATTCACACCAACAGCTTCTGCTGTATCATTGTATTCCTTGCCCACACCATTAGTCCTCTCTGACCAGCTGGACTGTGTTCAGCAACCTTGGTGTGGCTCTGTCTCCAGTGTTCTTTGTGCTCTTATCTTCAACTTTCTACCAAGTCCACTGGGCAGTCCTCAGACCCCCGGGAATTTCCAAGGCAGTCCTTTGGTCTCATGAACTTTCTCTTTGCTTCTTTTCTTCTATTTTCAATTGCATTTCTCTCATAAGCAGATAGACACAATAATGTTTAAGATACATAAACATATTTATATGTATAATCTATAAATGTTATTAAACATTTTAAGGGAGTCTTAGAATACAAACTCGTGGGATGAACTTGGATATTAAAGTAACATGGAGCTCTGTCTTTCCTGCAGTGGATATGATTTCCTTCTGAGACCTAGCTCTGTGTAGATATGTACAGAATGGACCTGGGGCTGGTGGAAGAGGGGATTCTGAAGTTACAAAGTACTTCTGTCTGCTCAGCGATTTACTTTGTATGATATTTTCTTACAGGCAAATGCTTGGTGTTCAGTTTTTCTCTTTTTCCCCCAGCTCCTTTGTAAGGCCATCTACAGGAGGAGTGCTATGTTGACATCTTGAGGTGGCAGGGAAGTCACCTGGTTGTCTGTCAGAGAACCTCTGCATCTTCTCTGTTCTCATTAGCCTGTGTACATGAAGGCATATTTCATACCACCTGGACTTCTAGAAGTATGTTGTCACTATCTCTGGAAGTCTGAGATTCTAGCCATTTTCTTTTTATCAAGAAATCCCTGTATTCTGCAGCATGTCCTGACTCCATGTCTCTGCCAGTCCAGCAGTTCTCTTAATGCCTCTGCTGTTCTCTGGCAGGTGCATAGAACTCCACAAACCACCGTAGCTATGTGAGGGTGGAGGAGAGTCATGCTCCTCACCTTGCCACCTACATCTGTCAGGGCTGCCTTGTTCCTGTGTCATGCTGGATATGGTACTGAATCACATGCCAGGCTATTATGCTAGCCTGAAGATGCCTGGGCTGTGCTAAAGAAATGGACCCAAGTTTGGTGTCCTTGTGTTTATCCCACTTCACTATCACCACTCTCTTCTGAGGTTTGTACCTGGAACTGGGAAATAGGAGCTAAATCAGCCTGGCTGCCTCTTCCTCTTTGACTGCCCCTTCTCTACCTTCTCTCTGGCATAGAGGGTTTCTTTTATTTCCCAGTCTGGAAGAACTTTCTTTAGAAGAAAACAGCAGAGAGGCTCTGGGGAGAGAAAGGAAAACCCCATCATTTAGAAAATTTCAAAATAGTGCCCTTGAAAAGTACAATTATGTACTTGTAACTCTTACTTTCCCAAAACACATATTAACACTGAAGAAAAAAATATGCTTCCATGAAAAGGAACAAGAACTTGTGTTCTGGTTCTCATCTTTATCTATTGTTTGGGGACTGTAGTCCCACTTGGATTTCTGCATTTATTTTCTGTGTCTTCCCCATATTCTCTATACATTTCTCTGAGCAGAATGAGGTTTTGACTAGTCCTCCTCCCCGGCCTCTGCTCCCAGGGAAGCCCATCCTTTCATGGAAGTCATCATTTAAGATGTGGGTGATAACAAGTAACAATGCATCCAGTTACTTGAGAACACCTGTCCTCTTCTGCTCTGGACATGCAGATTGATCAGGGGGTCTGACTGCGGTACTCATGCTGCTGTGCTAACAGGAAGAGCTCTGCCTCCTCTGGGGGCTACTGCCTGACAGAAACAACTTAAAGGATGAAAGATTTATTTTTGCTCATGGTTTCAGAGGCTTCAGGCCATGGTCACTTGGCTCCTGGTTTCTGGGCCTGTGGGGATGACAGCACATGGAGGAGGAAGCTGCTTACCTCATGTCAAACAGGAAGCACGGGATAGGAATACAGGAAGGGGCCAGAGCAAGATATAGCCCTTAAGGACACACCCCTGTGACCTACTTTATCTAACTAAGACCCGCCCCTTCCTGTTCACCACCTCCCAGCAATGCCATCATATTAATCCATCAACGGATTAATCTATTGATTATGGCAGATCCATCAACGGATTAATCTATTGATTATGGCAGACCCCTCAAGGTCCAGTCACTTCCCAAAAGCCCTTCAGTTGGCAACCAAGACCCCAATATGTGAGCTTGTGGGGCATTTTGAATTCAAACCATTACAAGGCTTAAGTTGCCATTCTTACAGTTTCATTGTGGTCTGTGACAGAGGACAAATTTAACCTGGCTGTACTCAGAGGTTGACTCTGTTGTTCTTTCTATGACTGGGGTATTGCCATCGGATCATGTTTTCTCTTATATTTGGTCTTAAGGCCCAAGACCAAATTCAAATACATGACTTGTAGGCTCTTTCAACTTGTTTTTCAGACATGGTCTGCTATGGCTTGGGTGTGGTTTGAGGGTATTCCCAAGGGTTCATTGTGATTAAAAGATTGGTACCCATGGTGGCATTGCCGTGAGGTGACAGAAACTTTGAGAGGTGGCCTCATGGGAGGTCTTCAAGTCACTGGAGAGTGTGAGGAATTTCTCATGCAACTTCTTTGATAGTTCTCTTAAGAAAGTTGTTATAGTGAAGATAGCCAGGTTCAGAAAACTAAAGGCCTCATGTTTTCTCTCATATGTGGAATATAGGCTCAATACAAATACAAGCAATATTATGAAAAACAGGTCACATTAAGAAGAGGTCACATACAAGAGAGGTAGGGTAAAAGGAGGAAGTTAAGAAGATGGATATGGTTGATGTACTTTCTATACAAAAGTGAATACAGAATTTTTAAACCTGTTGAAATCACCATAAAAAGGGGACTAAGGTAGAAAGGAAAAAATAGAGGGGATGAACCAATTTGAGTTATAGTACCTATATACTTGGAAATGTCACAATGAAACTCTCTGTATAGCTGTCTTAAACAAACCAAAATGTCTCTTTTTAAAAAAAAATGGAGAACAGGAAGGTAAAACAGGTCCTGTCTGGGGGTTGGTACCAGTGGGAGGGGGTGGGCATAAGGAAAGGGTGAAGGAGGGTGGATGTGGTGAAAATATTGTGTACTTATATATGAAAATGGAAAAATGAGACCTGTTGAAACTATTCCAGGCATGGTGGGAGAGAGGAGAAAGGAGAATGATGGAGGGGTGAATTTAAGTATGATATATTGTAAGAACTTTTGTAAATGTCACAGTGTACTCCCAGTACAACAACAATAATAATAAGCAAATTTTCAAAAAGAAAGTTGTTATAAAAGGAGAGAGCTACCCTGCTGGCCCTCTTTCTCTGCTCTTTGTGACACTTGCTCCTACCTGAGCTTCTGCCAGTGTTACTGCTATCCGACATCCTCATCAGAGATCAGACCAATGGGGCTCCCCAATCTTGGACTTGAATCTCCAAAACTATGAATACATAGCCTCTTTTCTTTATAAGTCAACCATACCAGGTATTTTATTGTAGTGATGAGAAGCTGATGCTACCACAGTTGGGGTAAAATTTATGCTTACTCTAGAACTCCCACCTTCATCTATTATTTGAATAATTTACAGACTTACAATTTTCTGCTTACTTCTGAAAATGCACCAAGAAATCCCTTGTGAATTTTCTGATCTCTTGTTTCCTGAGTTGCCAAATGGTTTCAACAAAGTATAGAAACTTGCGATGTCTGTCCCCACTTCCCTAATTCCATAAGACTGGGAGCAACTTATTATAAACAATTTCTTTTGTATGAGAGTCTCTTTTGGATAAAGCTTTGCCTTTTAGATTTCTTTTCTACTCTTTCTCCTGTTCTTTCCAAAAATGATTTCCTATAGCACATCTCATTTTTTTAATACTGGTTTTGTATGACCTTTAAAAATGTCTTTTGCTTTCAAACTAGGGGCAAGTGAATTAAATGCAGTGAGATGGATTGAAACTATTTCTCCATCCAATTAGTATCATACATAATCTATTGAACAACTGTGCCATCTATCCTGGTTGACTCAGACAGAGCCATTCTCAGCTAACATGTGGGCTCCTGGTAATAAAAACAGGAACAAGTAGGAGTCAAATGTTTCTTTAGCAAAATGAAGCCAGTTATTTCTCAAGGTTCTAAAGAGTTGCTTTAAAATCATCTGAATATGAGGACCATGTTTTCTTCATGCATGACTAGTAGGTTGACTGTCCCAAGATAATTTATTAATTAACTAATAATTAATTAATTCTTATTAGGAGATTGTATGCCTTAGCTAGGGAGAAACAGCACAAATCTTTTGTGGAAATAAATGAATACCAAGCAAATAAGAACAAGCAAAGTGTATTTATTCAGAGATTGCCATAGCAAGTGAGTCAGGCACCACCACTTGTGTTTTGACAGCCCTAAAAGACAGGGAGAGGCAGGTAACATTTAATCATGGAAAGAAGGGAAGATTTCATGTGTGTTCTGATGGAGGTCATTGGCATGGGCAACAGTAGGCTTCTAGAAGTCAGGCATTCTGTGCAATTGTTTAGGTGAATATTTGTCTTTTTCTGGTTGGGTATAAGTTGGAACTGGGAATAAGATTCAGGGGCATTTCCATTTTCAATTAATTCCTAGCTATTTGGGGCCAATTGTTATGAGAGCTATTGTTAAGCTTCTTGAATCATTTTAGGAGATCCTGATTGATTTCCTACAACTTTGTTGTAGGCTGGCCTCCTGGCTGGTTATTGCAGCCAGTGGGTTAGTTTCCTGAGCTTGTTGGTACATATTATAAGTAAGAGTGCTTTGTTATATATGGTCTGGTCATTGTCCATTTGTGTATTCACTCATGAACTATATATTGTTTCCTTTCACACATTTGTGATCATCTTGTATGGATCCAGCAGCAAGAACTCCAGGCAAATAAAGCCAACACGAATGTCCAGATGAGGTTGAACCCATTACAATTTGCACAAAACTATCAGGAATAGGTGATGGTGTTACTCAAATGTGCGGGTGGCATTTCCTGGAGGAAGTTGGTAGAACATTGACCAGGAGATAGAAATTTATCATTAGGCTGAGGAAAAGTGACATGGGAAAGGTGAAGAGTCAGTAAAGGAGGAAGCATCACAGGGGTCATTCTCCCAAGGCCTAAATCCCAACCTCTTGGACACTCCTTGAGTTGCCATGAGAAAAGGGTTAGGAATAGAGCCACCTTCTACTGTCCCTTTTATTGCTTTGTGCTTCTTGTCTGACACGGCAGTGAAAGAACTGACTATCCTTGGACTTTAGCATAGGTTCAGCTGCAGAGATGGTTGTGGTGATGGTCAAGAAGGAAGACAGGAAGACATTCTCATTGGCCAGTTGGACTCTGGGTGAGGAAGGACTGAGGACTCCACCAGGTCTCCTAGGCAGTGAAGACTACGAGATGGAAGGATCTATAGGCAGGTAGGTATCACTCCAAGCCAGGGACAAGCAAGAGGCTACTTGCTCTGATCTTCCTCTCGGGCCCCTTGGCAGAGCAAGGTGGAGGCAGAACTACCCCCAAGCAAGCAATCAAGCACATGGACAAACAAATGTAAAAATCCCAATTAAAACTAACCTAAAGAACAAATGTCCCCAAATTGTGCATCAGCATTGTTCGAGTGTAGATTACCCATACACATAAATGACTTTTCCACTGCAACTTTGTTGTAGAGGTGGAAACAAAACATTGTACAAGATTTATTCTTTGATGAGTAGGTTTTCTTTCCCAAATATTGCCTTACTAATCAAAAACATCTTCTCTTAAGGAAAGTGGTTAAAATATCCAAAACACTAAGATTTTCATAAGTAGATTTTTGTAGGATGATACTTTTCATGGTAAAAACATTCACTTGAAAGATTTCTTAGGATTAGCTAAAATTAAATCAATCCCTCCCCTCTCCTCTCTTCTCCTCTTCTCTCTCTCACTCTCTCTCTCTGCAGTGCTTGGGATCAAACTTAGAGCCTGACTTGTACTAGGCATCCTCAGTCTTTATACTTAAATATTTTAGGGTATAATGCAATAGAGTATGAAAAAGAAAAGTAGCTCTCTTTGAGAACTTGTGTTTGTACTTTCAATTCTTGACTTACATAGTCTCTTTGTAAAGTAACTATAGCTTTTATGCAAGAAGTTTGTGCTGTCTTATAAAAGAGTTTTAACCCTAGACTAAAAGAGTTTAATTTATTTTTATTTTGTAATTTATTCATTTATTCATATGTGCATACATTGTTTGGGCCATTTCTTCCCCCTGCCTCCACCTCCCTCCCTTCCAGACAGGGGAGTGTTCTGCCCTCTTCTCCAATTTTGTTGAAGAGAAGACATAAGCAATAATAAGGAAGACATACTGTTTTTGCTAGTTTGAGATAAGGATAGCTATACAGAGAGGAGTTTAATTTAGATGACAAAGTTGAAGGTGAGAAGAAGACAGTCCTATTTGAATAGTACCTTTACAAAGGGAAGTATTCCATCTTTCTGAATGGGATACATATTTGGGAGTCATTAACATAGTTTACCATAAAATACCACACAAATAATTGGAGGCTCAGATATAAGGATTTGTGGATAGGACTGTACTTATGGCTCTAAACAATTTCAAAAGGAAAGAAGAAAGAAAAAAATAAAGGCCTAGTGACTTTGTTTGTTGCTGGGGTCCCAAGACAGAAGGCAAGAATCCTCTTACTTAAATCTGATCACAATACTTTGGGGCAACTGAGGCCAATAGGAGAGGGGGACCAGGAACTAGAGAAAAGGTTATTTCAAGAAGAATTAACTTAGAAGGTAACACACATGCACAGGAAATCAATGCAAGTCAACTCCCTGTATAGCTATCCTTATCTCAACTGGCAAAAAC